GAGGGTGAAAATCATAGACAAAACTAAATCACTCAGCACAGTGTCACTGTCACAGAAACTCCTACCACCAATGCCACACCGAAAGCACTGAGGGGCAGGGCTTTCCCCCAGCTACTGTTATTATTTGCCTTTTCATAGCACAGTAAGTTTATCACTGCCTCCCCTCTCTTGTGTAACAGCTTTGTTGAATATGATTTATTATCCTTTGACAGCGCCTGATTCAGTAAATTTTTACATCGTCACCAGCTTGAATACCATCACTACTGTATACTTTCTGAACAGTTTAATTACCCAAACACATACTACACCCACCTGTTAGCAGTTAGTCACTCCCCATTCCTCTCTCCCCAGGCCTTGGCAATCACTAGGTCTCTGGGGATTTGCTAACTGTGGATATTTTCCATAGCCATGATGGTGCAGTGTGCAGTTTGTGCCTCGTTTCTTCTCAATTCAATTCTTTTCAATTACCTATCATGATATGGTCATTATCCATTCATAAGCTGACAGACATGTGGGCTGTTCCCACCTTGAGGTCACTGTGAGGAACTTTTGTGAGCATGTGTTTGTACAGTCATGCGTTTTCCAGTCTCTTTGCCTACACACTTGAGGATGCTGCTGCTGGGTTGTATGGGAGCCCTACTTCGCCAGTTGAGACTGCTGTCCAGAGTGGGTCAACTATCTGACACTACCATATACAACGGATGAGTGTTCCCTGTTTCCTTGGGGTTAGTATATCTTGACACTATCTCTCTTTTTTACTATAGCCACTTCAGAGTATGCGATACATGATGAACACCTTTTCAAATCCTAGCTGGTCTTGTACGTCACCACAATGTAGACTATCTAAGCCCTTAAGTTGATTGGTTATTTTTGCAGTGCTGAATATGAATCCAGGGCCTTGGCTGTGTAAGGCAAAATCTCTGCCACTGAGCTACAATGTTTATAAGACATTGTTTGGATTATGTTGTTCTTTCATTCTTGAGTCACAGGAGGTCTTCACACTTTATAGATACATGTCACTTCTTATAACTCCCCCACAGCATATATTCTCTTACTTTTAGCTTGAACTTTTCTTTTGATCTCTTATAAAACACACACAAATTCAATTTACAAACAGTTAATACTATATTTTCTCTTTTTACTTTACGGTTGATGTTATCATGTCTAAAAATTTATTATAAATAATGTTATGAACATCTATCCCCAAAATTTTAGTTTTTACTTTTGCTACCAATCCATTGTGAGATGATGTTTGTGTAGGATGTGAGATGAAAAGTTCAGAATTCAATGTCACTAATTGGGAGAATCCAGTCATCCCAGCACCAATAGTGGAAATGATTGTGGGTTTTTTTTTTTTTTTGGTTGTTGTTTTTTGTTTGTTTTTGGTTTTTTTGGTGGAGGGGTGGTTCTTGTTTGTTTATTTTCTCCACTGGATTATCTTGGTATTCCCTTCCTTTTTACACATTTAGAATGTTTCATTACTTATAGAGATAGACCACTCTGATACTATTTTTCAGTTATTAGGTGCTCTATTACTCTGCTTGAATTTCTCTCATATAATTATACCTCACTTAACAAATGGGATGTGCTCTGAGAAATACAGCAAGCAATAGACAGTACTACTATACGAATACCACAGAGGATATATATAAAAACTAAGTCAGCTACAAGGTCACTGGGGGATACACTCTTCCAGAAGATGTGAAATCTGTCACTGACCCAAACGATATGTGGCATGCATTTTGCCAATGGAGCTACTTCTGCAGGCCCTATTTCGTTTATATACACATGAAGATCCTGAATCCACATGAAGCAATGATAGTTCTTGGGGATATATATATATAAAATGTATTATGTCCTGTGACAGAGACAGGACAAATCACCCTCTTCTCTGGTGTTTGGAGAACAGAATGCCTATTTCTTAAAGGCCACTGGGTAAGAAAGGGTGGCTGTACAAACAATGGCTCAGAGTATTTCAAATGGCCACATAATGAGTAAAAATATACACAATTATGAAATGAAAAGACATTGTCTTGAGACGGATGTTTACCATGAGGAGATGTGGTTGACAGAACACCATGAATGTGAGCAAGGCTGAGTGACAATGGTCTCATTCACCAACCTACATTACTCTAATTCTAAGTGGGCTCTCGATCTGAGTAAGACACCCATGTGTCTGGGGAGAGACATTGGGGAGAGAACAGAATGGACCAGTTCTAAGTAGTCCCGACAAACACCTAGCTGAAGTGGGGCTTCTCTTTGTTTTTATGTCAACATGACACACAAACCAGAGTTATCTCAAAGAAGGGAACCTTAATTGAGAAAATGCCTCCATAAGATCAGACTGTATGTCATTTTGTTAATTAGTGATCATGGGGGAGGGCCCAGCCCATTGTGGGTGTAGCCATCACTGGGCTGGTGGTCCTGGGTCTTCAAGTCAATAGGCTGAGCAAGCCATGGAGAGCAAGCCAGTGAGCAACCTTCCTCCACGGCCTCTGCTTCAGCCCCTGCCTCCAGGATCCCGCCCTGCTTGAGTTCCAGTCTTGACTTCTCTTTGATGAAAACAGTAATATGGAAGTGTAATCAAATAAACCCATTTACTCCCAACTTGTTGTTGGTCACAGTGTTTCATTATAGCACCAGAAACCCTGACTAAGGCACTCTCTTCCCACAACTTCATGACAACTGTGTTTCTTGTTCCTTACATCTCTTTCTGATGATAAGTTATCCCAGACATTTTTCACTGGGTTCCACCCGCCTTGTTCCTTTGAAGTGTGGAATTTGTCCAGCCCTGGAAGATGAACATACATCCTGCTGCCTTTTAAATTCAAAATTTTCATACTAACAACAAGCTATGTTTCTCAGACACTTTACCACAGCATTCTGTTACAGATATAATCTACTGCTGAAGGTTAATAAACTCTGGGCACACCCTGTGCTCCAAAGCCCAACTGAAATAGCTCCAGCTGAAGGACAACTCGCTGATAGAGATCTTGCCTTGCTGATTTCAACTCCAGGCCCTGGGAAAAAAAGTCTACACAGCTGGTTACAAGATTCACAACTGTGTCCCCTCTTCCTTTCCCATCCTAAATCACAGTTATTCCATTCGTATTATATACTTCCAGAATCTTCTAGCATTCCCTGACAGAGCTGTCAGCTGGGAAGGAAGGTCTGTCAATGTGCTTCAATAATAAGCTTTCAGCTATGCTTTTACGCTTCTACTTTAATTTTAATAGAAGGTTTTTGAATCAGAAATATCCTAAGGCAGAAAATTTCTCCCCCTTTTTTTTCCCCCTCTGGTAGGATTTTCCACAAATACTCTGCATTTAACATAACAACAGCAACACCGACAGCAAGAAAAGGCAGGCTTTTAGGCACAGCTTCTCCCAGATTCCAGTGTCCAATCTTAACTAGTGTTCCTTAATGGCCTTTAGCATAAAGAAAGGTGTTATTTTTCCTGTCATAATGGTCATAATGGTGAGAACCACACTGTGCTCAGTGGAATGAAACATTTTTCAAAATCAATGGGATAGAGCAGAAGAACTCTGACTGTACTTGTTCCTCTCTATTAATCGATTGGTGGCATGACTGTCCTTCATCACCCCCACCCCATCAAGTGGCTGGTCTGCACCCTCTCTCCGTTTACTGATTCTTATGGACAAAGACTTGTGTAAAACAAGTCATTTATTTACAGCAGTTGGAAAACTGGCCAACAAACTGGCAACTCAAACAAAAATGTCAAATTGGCTCCCATTAGTAAGGGTGGAAAAAAGATAAAATTATAGTGTTTGTAGTATGCCTTGCATGGTAAAGGAACAGCTGTTTTTCACATCAAAGGAAGATAAATGTTCACTGATTCTTGCCTGAGCTTCAACAATTTTCCTAAGTACCATTCCATTTTTATTCTTCCTACAAAAGAAAAAAAAAAACCAACCCCCCAAAAATATTAATAATGGAAAATTGCTGATTTTTTTTAAGTGTTTCTAAGGTATGGGTACCAAGGGAAAAAAATGTTTAAAAAAGGAGGGTATGTGATTATCATTTCTTATGAGTAAAACTGTAAATATTTTCTTTTCCTATTCTTCTGAAGTTTTCTCCCAATTTTTCTATCATGTGTATGATGCTCTTACAGTTACGAAGAACCAATAAAAGAGCAAAATGAGAAAAAATGTTTAGTAGTGGGAAATGGTGAGATATAAGGATTGGCTGAGCCTTGGACAAAACTCAAATTATACAGACATTCACTGGATCTCAGGCATCCCAAACTTCGCAGGTACCCTAACCTCTAACTCTAAACACTCCTTCTTATCCAGGCAGAAAGATTTTTATCCATTAAAATTTTTGTCTTGAGCTGGATGTGGTAATGTATGTCTGTAACCCGGCATTCAAGAGATGGAGGCAAGAGGATCAGGAGGGCAAGACCAGAAGTTCAAGGTTATCCTGGACTACACGGGTTAAACCTGAGCTATCTGAGTTATAGGACAGATGGACTTCTAAAACACAAGATTCCACAGAGGAATTTCATACAGACATTAGGTTTGTAACCAAGCTCACAGGTAGACAACCTTCTGGCCTTCTGTTTCCCTCTCTCCGACTCTGGTACTTCAGGTTACAAAACCTGGGAAGTGTCAAGCAGTGCCCTAAAAATCACAGCACTATCTCCTGACCCCATTTGTTATCAACTTAACATAGAAGAGGAGGAAATCGCAGAAGTACTGTCTCCAGTAGGTAGCTTATGGCATGTCTGTGGGACAATTCTCATTACTGACTGATGTAGGGCTCAGCTCACTGTGGGAGGTAGCATCCTCTAAGCAGGCAGGCCTGGGAAATGTAAGATAGCTGAGTAGTGAGCCTGGGAGCAAGGCAGTAGTTAGCCCCTTCCTGGAGTTCCTGCCTTGGCTAAAATATACCTTTTTCTTCCCCAAGTTGGTTTGGTATATGTTTTTATCACAGCAACAGAAAGCAAACAAGTGAGTGAAGATGCCAGTCAAAGGTCATACCTGTGAGATATAACCTGGAGGCACATGGATGGGAGGAATGGACCCATTAGGTGACATCATGGGAACCTCAGCAGGTCCTGAAAGATATAAGAGCAAAATATTAATAGATGGAGAGACACGCATCATTCAATGTAATCATTGAGATTTTTAACATGCCATAACTATTTGACACCATGGGTGAAGTAATTTCCTGGCTATACAAGTCAAGGAAACAAACAAAACATATACAAAAGCAGCAACAACAAGAAGGTTATAACCATCTCTATTAATATTTAACAATTCCCTAAAGGCCACAAATTCCATCGACCAAAACTATTCTGTTAAAGCCAGCCTAACAGAATGGAACAAAAGCCCTTTTCCTCCTGACATTAAATGACGTACTGGAATAGTTCAAATTTCCTCCTAACAACCTTCAACTTTACTAAAAAAAAAAGGATTGTAATTAATATATATAAACACATTTGTAAAGTGAGTATATTTTAGGTTCAAAAGTTCCTATAGGCTTTAGATTTATGATTTTATATGATTTTTATTTTTAATAATTTGTTATGACCTACCATTAATATGAAGGGTATAAAATCTTTAAAATAATTCAAACCTGCTGAACCTGGTAGTACAGTCCTATAGTCCCAGTCCTGAGTAGCTAAGGCAGGAAAAAAAAATCATAAGTTCAAGGCCTGCCTGGGCACCTTTGAAACATATAAAAAAAAAATAAAAAGTTGAGTTATTTTTTTTAAAGAGTTTGGGGAATGGCTCAGTGGTAGAACACTTGTTTAATATAAGTTCCTAGGTTTAGTCTCCAATATCATAAACAACATGTCAACCAACTGTTTGATCTGTTTCTCATTAAGTAGGGGCTGGTCTAGAACTCCCACCATGCCAAGTTTTATGCAAGTCCGGGGATCCTACCAGGGTTTTGTGCATGCTATCCAAGCATTCTACCAAGGAATGCTAATCACATGATTAAGGCAATCTAATGAATGGCAAGGTTAACAAGTTACCTAAAATGTAGTTTGGGTTAATGTTTCATCACAAACTAACTGCCATACACAAAAACAACTCTTTCAAGGAGCCTACCATTCAACAATTTCCCTTCAAGTGAAGGAATCTTAGAACTTACCTTCCACAGCTAGCTCTCATAAGCAGTTAGCAACTCACCCCCAAATGTTACCCAATGCTATGAGTTTCACTAAGAGGTGCGACTTCCAGGCTCCAAGCACTGTGTCGTTTATTTGCTTTCTCCTGGTGGGTGTTGTACTGCTGGCAGTAAAAACTGCCCAGCTGGAACAAAACCCAGGAGAAATATGCCATTTTAGTGAGCAAAAGGAGGCAATCCTGTCACCCAATCACTTCATTTACAAGTAAACAGAGTGTGCCTTTCATATCACAATCTTGCAATCAGGATAGGAGAGGACCAGTGATGTGGGGAGGATTGGCATGAGCATGAGCAGGTCTCCAAGTTCAGGGGGAAATAGCAGAAGGGCAGAAATGGTGAAAGACATCATACGAAACTCCAAATGAGAGATCACTGCACATTCATGGATAACACATCAAATGAGAGTTCACTGCAGGTTCATGGATAACACATCAAGTGAGAGTTCACTGAATGTTTATGGATAACACATCCAGTGAGAGTTCACTGCACATTCATGGATAATATATCAAGCCACTGAACTCTGACATCCCTACACTCACAATGCCAGTGGTCTCATGGGTGCCGTGAACCAAAAGCAAAAAGAAGGTGATATGCATCATAGCTCAGTGGTCGCACACAGGCTTAGCATTTTCAAAACCCTGAGTTTCATTTCTACCATGCCTCTTACCAAAACAATGAATCATTGTATGACACCATTTTATTTTTAAGTTAGAATTAAATTTATATGGCAACTGCTAAAGGTGTTAGTTTCCAAGTCTATCTTCCTTACTGACATCAGCATCTTTAAAAAAAGCCATCAAGACCTTTGTGTTCTTGTTTGAATTGACTCATTTAAAAGAATCGTACTGTCTTTGAAATCCAAACGTAAATGCACTTGGCTCCAAAGAACAGGTTCTAGGCGCATGAGCCCTCCCTGGTTTTATACCTCTGTGTATCCTTGAACAATGAACTCATTTAACGTGGCTACTTCATAAGGTCAGGTTTAAAGATGAAATTCATTAAAACCTGCAAAGGTAGCATGAGAATAATAAGCACATATCTCATCAACATTCTATGAGGCTTTTGATAATGTTCTAAAACCTTTATTTTTATTTTATTTTTATTTATGTTTTGCCTACATCTATGCCTGTGTATTATGTGTGTTCAGTATCCAAAGATCGCCTAAGACTCAAGTTACAGATGGCTGTGAGTGACCCCATAGATGATGGGACTTGAGCCAAGGTCCTCTTGCAAGGGCAGCTAGAAGCTCCTAACCACTAAGCCATCTCTCCAGCCCAGTACTCTTCCTGACTGCTATTTGTTGTACTCTCTTTTTTGTTATATTTAAATTATAAAGAATATATTTTTTAAAAATATGTCCTGATAAGGCATAAAGTCAACAAATGTTTATAATATACACTATTTGCTTTATGGGTGACTCTTCCTTAACAGGCAAAATATCAAATATTTCATAGTACAACAGGCCAATGGAATATGGCTTTTGGAGGGGTATATAGGGGGACTCAAGTCAGGGTTTCTTTGTATAGACCTAGCTGTCCTGGCTAGCCTTGAACTCACAGAGATCCCTTTGCCTCTGCCTCCTGAGTGCTGGGATTAAAGGTGTGTGCCACCACCAATTGTCGAGAGATGGCTTTTTAATTATTAAAATATATACCAGGCTAATGATCTCTTAACCCCAAGTATGACCCTGAAAACTGGTAAAGCCATTTGTGAGAAATGCTTAAGGAGTCTAGGGCAAGCAAGCAATTTACAGCTAGAAGAAATGCTTTCTTCCCAGCCTTCATTTCAGGAGTTGCTAAAAAAAATTCCACATGCTTGGCCTTTCTTCCTCCTAACACCATCATCAAAGCCATTAAAAGGCCATTTCAGACACTGTATAGCGGCTTTTTAACTGCAACTCTGTTGTGGAACCTCAGGGTTACTCTAACTCCTGAAGTAACCCTGGCCCCATCGGTCAGGAAACAAGGCCTCCTACACAGTGGCAGTGTGAGCGCCACTGTCCTCCTCAACACTAGTCTCCAGTGAGTTCACCATCTCTGCCTGATCATATGTGTTGGGAATGCCCCCAGCCACATTCAGCCTTCTCTAAGAGGCACAGGTTTCCTTTCTCTAGAGATTGAGTTCTACTACTTTATCTATATCCTCACCAAAAACAACACCTAAAGGATACTGGCGGGGGGTGGGGGGGGAGATTGTTCAAGCCACCAACATTGGCTAAATTCATAGGAAGATGTCTCTCAAATAGATTTGTTCCTTGCCTATACTAGGACATTAATAAACTATGAGACTTTTCAATTATTTTGAAACAATTTTATAATGTTTCTGAAGTCTTACTCGATAAACTAGTTATATATAGGCCTGTCTATGTGGACATATAAAGATATGCACACATAAATTACAGACACCTACAGGATGCAATGAGGCTTTGGTTTATAAGAACTAAGAAGTCTGGCTAGAGAGACAGAAACTATTCTGCAGACATATGAAAGCTGTTCCATGTTCAGCTTCTAGAACTGGAACCAGAATGTTTATTGATCCCATTAGCTACATAAAATGAAACAAAACAAAACAAAACAAAACAAAAAAAAAAAAACAACTTGGGGAAATCCGACAGATTTTAGGCTTAGGCTGTAACTTCAATATCAAGAATTCTCACTTAATGTCATATGTAAGACCATGACTCTCTGGCTTCTATCATTTTATCATCCAACTTCAACAAAGAACTATACAATCGGAGCATTTCAAAGACAGCTACTATTTGTTAGTGCATTTTCACTTACTTGTAGCAAATCTGTATCCAGAAAAGTTAGAGACTAAAGAAAGACTCTAGCCCCACTATTCCTCAGGAGCCACATACTCATGGAGAGTTCCAGAGCTTACCTGCAAGGCTGAAGATTAGTCTATAACCTTAACACAACTGACTCCATGACATAAAACTCAGCAGGTAGACAGCACCACCTGACAAAATGAAAACCAAGAACTAATCTATCAAAGTTCTGGGAAAGCCTCTAACTGTATTAACTATGGTTTTTGGTTTCTGTAATTCTGTTTCTGGCTAACTGTTCTTGTTACCTGAAGTATTTCAACCCAAGACATGACGTTTGTGCTTAAAAGCTTTCTCTGAAAAATATTCAAACACCCAATATAGTCAATGACCAGCTACTAAAGACTTTCTATTGGCTTAAACCCCTGTTGAGGCAGACTTCCCCAGGTGAATAGCCAACAAGTTCCTTAACCTCTGTGTCTGTCTTGTGACTAGGGATCTCAAGAACTCAGAAGCCTAGAAAATGCTTGCTTGACACTGTCTTCGGAAGCCTCATCTCATATGGAAGCAAACATTGACTAGAGGAGGGCATCCTAGTGATATTGAAGAATCCCTCAGGGGTGGAAACTGGCAGTCTAGGACAAGTCACCATTAAAATAAGCCCCAGAAAAAGACCAGCTATAAATAAATCTATATAAGATTTTGCCATTTTAAGTGGTGGTTTAAAAAGTTGAGTAGTCACCATAAGTAACAAGTAGTAAACAATTCACTTTTGTAGTTTTCTCTAAATCGATACTTGGTTTTCCATATGACTATCAATAAATAGTGCTTAGTACCACACATCACATTCTCCCTTGATTAACTTCAGCACTGTCTTACTCATAAAGGGATTTAAGAAGGCTGAAATACCAGCTGAGTGAGATCAAAGGTGAAAAGTGAAAAAACCCAATATATACTAAGAAAGTAACCATTGAGTCTTTCTAAACAGCTGAAAGGGAATTCTTGAAGGAATAGACAGAGCCCTAGGTAAGGCCACAGCCACTTGGCTAAGAGATCCTCATGGGAAAGTAATTATCACACCAAATGGTCAAAACAAAAGCATCTATACTGTTTGCATCTTGACAAATTCAAAATATGGGGTTCTGAAGAACCCGAGC